CCCACCCCCCCCCTCTCCCTTCCCCCCGTCCCCCCCGTAGCGCAACGATGTTTGCCATCGGGGTTCGGTTTTCGTCGCTTGGCAACGACGCTGTAAAACAGGCCGCCCCCCCCCGGTGTGTGTCATCGGGGTTGGGTTTTCGTCGCTTGGCAGCAATGTTGTAAAACAAGCCGATCACTTCGTGAGCTCGGCAACCAGGTTACCGCTTTTGCTTGTTACCTTTTTGTTTTTTTTGCGGTAACCATGAATGGTGGTCGAGTAGATCATGTTGTACGGGGTCGAGAACCCTCACTCCGCGCAACGGGGGATGATCGCACCACGTTGTGTTAAACTGGTCAAGCTTCCTCGAGGCAGTTACACAGTGCTTATAACTGTCTCTGGAAGTGAAAGCATCAGAAAATAAATTAAGTCACACGCAGCTGTCATCCGTGCGCAAGGAAGTAAGCACAAGATGCCGAACACCCTTAGCAGGATGCAGCGCACCCTTCATGCGACTCGCCGAATACCTCACGGCGCTTCGCGCTTGGTGATGTGAGAGCCTGGTCCGGTGAGAACCCGGCGTGCTCCGTCCCGGCTTTGTAGGGATGCGAGGCCAATGGTCTAACGACTACGGCATACACGACTGTGAGTACCCCCCCCCCCCTCTCTTTTTGCGCAGTAGTGGTCTGTAACGAAGATAAGAAAAATCCCGTAGAATTCAAATGGAAATGGGGGGAGGAAGAACTACCGGTAGTAGACAAGTATACGTACCTGGGAGTAGAGATTTCGAAGGAGTGCTCATGGGACGCACACATAGCGAAGTTGATTGGGAAGAGTAAAGCTCAGATAGGCAAGATGGACGAGATCCTTACGGACCCACACCTAGACACTAGGATTAAGAGGTGTATTCTCTTGAATGTGATTGTACCTTAGCTAGAGTATGCAGGAGAGATATGGGAAGGTAACGAAAAGGCCGCCAAGCAGCTGGAAACGGCGCAGATGGCAGCGGCCAAGAAAATACTAGGATGTTCAAGTACAACGAGTAACACTGTATTGAGAGCAGAATTGGGAATGTACTCTCTTAAAACAAAGAGAGACATGCAGAAGTTGAATTGGCAGTACAAGGTAAGTAGAATGTCGGACGATAGACTACCAGCCATGGTTGACGAGGCAGCTTGGGGAAAAGCGACTCCAGGGAAGAAGGGAATCAGATGGGACAAGGTGGTAGAGAAGGTTTGGAAGGAGATAGGAGACGAGGAGGAGACGTTGGACACGGAAGGGTTCGGGGGGTTCAAGACGAAAATCAAGGAGATGCTAGAGAGTAGGGAGGAGGCAACCCTTCGGAAGAAGGTACGAAGCGAAGACCACTTGGAGATATACGGGAAGTTGAAAGAAGGGATAGGGATGAAGAAGTACTTGGACGGCCCCATGGACTATGCGAAAAAGCTGAAATTGCAATTTCGAGTAGGCGATCTGGACTTGCCAGAACGGAGGAAGAGGTATACCAGCCGTAGGAGAGAGGAAGAGGAGGATAGACACACATGTCCATGTGGCAAATCGGAGGAGAGTAGACCCCACATAGTTGGGGAGTGTGAGTTGTACAGGAAGGAAAGAGAGGATCTCGAGGAGGAAATGAGACAGAGAGGGTGTGACATGGACAAGTTTGGTAAATTAGACAACAGCGAAAAAACGATCGCGATAATTGGGGATAGATGGTGGGCACAAGAGGCCCTAGAGGACGGGGATAAGATGTGCAAGAAATTTTTATTGAGTTTGTGGCAGAAACGTAAAGAGCTCCCAAATGTTGGTGGTGTCTCTAGTAGGTGTAGGAACGGTGCTCCGTCTCGAAAGGGACGCGTGGTCAATGGTCAAATGACTACGGCAAGCAACAAATGAGTACGCCCCCCCCCCCCTCTCTCTCTAGTACTAAATAACCGTTCTTCGCTCTCGCATTCTCTCTGTTCTATAATTACCCTCTCCTCCTTCCTGGCACTCTCGCGCCTTGGTGATCGCTCAAACCTCGCCCATTGCCCGAACAGTATTCAAGGGGCACTTTGGCGATCCTGTCGACGTGCTTGGCTACATAAGCCTCTGTCTTCGACAATGACTGCGACTTCAGTCTTCTGATTTCCAACCGAGAGGCTTACTCAACGCCAACCGTCTGTGGTGTCTTCGGGGAATTCGCTACTATGGTATCTGACCTACATACCCGATTCGTGTACCAGTTTCCGTGTAGTATGTGAACGTGTTTGTCGCTAGCCGCTTGGCTCGAGGTGCATTTGTTTCTGTTGGGGCGTCGTGTTTCGCACGCGCAAGAGGTTTTACCCTCCTGCTTATGCGGTTGCGGTCACCTGTTTGTCGTGGCCTGCTTGCTCGTGGTCGATGGCTTTGTGAAACTGAGCTCCGACAAAGTCTACATAGCCCGTGAGGATGCGGTGGTCCTCCAACACCCTCTTCATGTCCTCCCTGCTCAAGGCGCGTACGGATTGGGGGTGGGATACACGTTCATCTTTTCACGTTGTCTCTGTGCGTGCAAGCCCTCTCTGCGTGCGGTCATCACGGGAAGAACACGCGCGTAAATTGTCGTCGGGCAAGGGGACGCAATCAGATTGTTGTCAGGTTTAGAAAATTAGCAAGCCTCCCGGCATCACGGCGAAGTCGTCGAGGAATGAAGCCGCGGAAAAAAAATAGGTCTCCAACACGAAGAATGGTCGGTGTCAGGTGCCAAGGGCGCATGGAGGTCTCACGACTGGCGTGGAAGGGCCGGTGGGGATCGGAGAGCGCGGGGACGAAGATCAGTTTTCGACACCGAAGAAGGATAATTTTCGACTATTGGTAACTGTTGCTCGCGTACAAGCAGTTCTCCTTGCACTTCCAAAGGGATGAACAAACAAGGTGCTCCATGTTCACTCCGACCTTTTGGATCTTTCGTGCTCTCTCGCGGCGTTCTCCGCCTTCGCTTGCATCTCCTCGGCGTCGTCGACGGCGGCCTGCGTCCCGCGAATCAATGCCAAGTCGCATGGGTTGGAGAGTGAGTGGTTGTACTGCGAGGTTGCAAGTTCTGCCTAGACTTCGCGTTGTTGGCAATGTGCAAAAACGATTCGGTATATGATGTTCGTTTTCCAGTATACATTCACAGGCGGTGATGATGTGATATCCGTGGCGACGGTGACATCCGTGGCGGCGGTGACATTCGTTGTACGGTTTTACGGGAATACGTTTAGGCGGTCGACCGTAACTACGGATAACCCCACATACGGTCGATAGCACAACCGTTAACAACGTTTAACCGAAAAAGCGTACTACCGCATACACGGTCGACTGATTAACCGCGTAGGCGTATATATGGTGGGTTGTATAACCGCATGTACGGTCGGCCGTACTGTTTGAAGTTCTGAAACCATGCAAATTACGGTAATTGCGACTATTCTTCCGGTAACCTCGTTTGTAATGTAAATATTTAGAAGGAGGCCGCCTCGTGCACGAGTATACAATCGACACAAATACGTGCACCGTCAACGCGATACACACAGCATTGAATAAAAGCATGGCTAACCTGGCTGAGCTCCTCGTACGCGACCTTGAGCTGCATGTAGCTCTCCGCCTGCAGCGCAAGCTTCTTCTCGTACATCGCGTTCATCGCTGATGCTTCCCTGTACAACAACGCGCCATGTCAAGGAACGATATGTCTTGCACAGGAGGCGCGACGCCAACCATCGGGATTACCAATTGACAGCAGCAACGTTGTTTTCGGATGCATGAGTCCACCAATATTCAAGGGATATTGGCTTCCGGTATGGTCGATATCAAGCAACACTTAACAACAGTGATGCATTGAGGTACCATGTTCCAACAGGGCTCGTCCGGGATTTCTGACTGTCGAACTGTGGGGAAAATCAAGGTGGGTTTTCTTGAAGAACTGTGTGGGGTCACACCGGAAAGCAGGACAGAGTCGCGAGGATGATGTTCTTTAGAGGTAGTACAATTGCAAGCGAGATCGACGCAGCACACCGAGGAAAATCGAGGATGGTACGATGATCAGGGGCCTGTCGCGAAAGCACGTCGTCATTGCCGGCGCCTGTGTCGGAGACGGGCATGACCAGGGCCAAAGTGACAAACGAACAACCGGATGGATAATACCCTATCAGTACCACTTTCTAGCTTGGCACTACAAGGGTACACATGAATGCACTCGTCAGCTGTGTCCTTACTCAGGGCATGTTAATGAGCATCGAAATCCATAAGAAGTGTTCTGTGGCGAACCCCCATCAGGGGATGCGTATGTAACGAAACACAGAGTTCTTTCGTGGGGGGTAGCATCGTTTCGTAACGCTTCATGTTGTACCTCTTTCGCTGCTCAATGCTGTCCCTAGCGAGATCCTCCCGCTCTTTCTTGCCTTTTACCAGCGCTCGCCGCAGGGAGGCCACGTCCACTTCCATGAGCGACAGCTGGGTCAGCGGACAGGATGGACACGTTGACACGCCGGATGCACGTTGGACACTGACGTGCGTTTTCTCTCTCTTGCCTAGGTGCCGGTCGGGCTTTCGTCTGCGCTTAACACGGTCTTCTACACAATGCAGACAGCGTGGTCACTTCGAATACCGATGGCTCACCGAGCGCGAAGTACAGCATACAACCGCCCCTTGATTCGGCGTGTTTCGTGACACTTACCCCAGCACCGCTACCCTGTCACCCGCTTCGGTCACCGGCCGTTCACCTTGCCATGTACACGCCTCTGTGAAGGCCGCCAGGCTCTTCGCGTGAAAACATCGTCCGCACCACCCCATTCCTTCCCGGTCAATGGTCCCAAACTGCCGCACGTACCTCCAGTCTCCCTGCTTCCTTGACGGCGGCCAGCTCCTTTTGCTGATCACGGCTGCTTTTCTCCAGCTCGAACCTGGCCTGGTGCTTGACGTGGGTAAGCTGCTGGAGAGCGGAGGCAGCCTTGGCCTGAAGTCTCCCCACGGCCTTTTGGCACAGTGTTGACGACGATCCCAAACATCGTCGGATCGAAAAGGGGTAGGGTTGGGAAGAAAAGGGCCCAAGAACAAAACGGAGCACACGGGAGGGTGAGCCGAACTAGCCACCGCAGGGTCAAAGCGGCAATCGTCTGAAGTCTTCTCTATAGTCTTACCACGGACGTGAAGTGAGGAGCCGAAGGCAAGAGAATACGTGCGTGGGGGATTTGTAGTCGTGATCACGGTCTGCCGATGTCTTCACAACGCCTGCTACGAACTACGCAACGTTGAGCCCCCTTCGGGCAGCAAATTATGTTGAAATCGAGGAAGCATGCAATGATGTGCTCGACTGCATCCTTGCTCGAAGGTGCCCACAAGATATGCGTGTGACACTCGGTCCTTTGGTACAATCAAAACCGAACGGGTCGGTGCATCAGACGAGAATCGGCAGCCAGCAAAAGCTATTCCGTGGAACAAGCCACGGGAACTCAAGGGAGGAGAGCGGGAAAGCTGTGCGTATCCGTTCGTGGCATCATGCAAATAGCGGTTGATTCGTGAATGTAGTTTGAAAGCCTGTTCCGGGCGGCCAGGTTCTGCGCAGTATCGGCAAGCCTTGAAAAGGCCCGGGAGTTGGTTCCGCCTTAGGCAGTGACCGGAGTTACATAAAGGCTTATCCTTTGGAACTGGTCAGTCAGAGTGGACTACCTATATCTAACAGTCGGAAGTTCTCAAAGACGTGAGTCATTCAAAACGTCGACCTCCTCGTGGCATCCAACACTCTCCCACCTCTTCCTCCATGAGCACCATCCCTTCCTCCACACAAGCCTCCAGAGCCATGCAGCTCTCGGATGGAGCTGGAACTATGCCGACCGCTCCCGCGTCCGCTACTTTCTCCGCACCCTAAAGTCGTTCAAGCAGGTAAGGGGCGGGGGGGGGGGGGGGTACGACTGGTTTCAGTCACCATGGCGGTGTGAAAAAAAACTCAACCCAAAAATCTAGTACGGACAAAAGGGGGGCGGGGGTGACGGCGGAGGTAGGTGCAATTTGTTTGAGGAGGAACAGCGGTGTTGCTCGTCCCGCGTCCGGAACGCGTACACCACACGTTGCACAAGAAACAACACCCAGGCGTTGACACTATATGTACCTGTGCTGGTGTGGTGTCCTTCCCTGTGGCCAACACCCGAAAACTCTACAACCATCCCCCGACACAGCAGGCAGAGCCAAGACAGCGACACCAACATCGCTTGATTTGCACGTTTCTGTAGCAACGGTAAACGCGCGCTGATAATATCTAAGGAGGGGCCAAGGTTACGCACGCCGCACCCCCCACCACCCTAAACTCAGAGCGCGGCCAAGCAGCTCCTTTCAACGAACCCGTCCGAACTGTTCCTATGCAACGGTCAGAACCGTGCCCACCTTTGAAACGTGTTGTGACGAGGTTGCCACCGCGTTCGGCTTCGGTTTCGGTCTCGGGGGGAATGAAGAGTAGGCGTTTCCGACCACGGAGGTCGTGGCACCGCGGGTGTTGCTCGTGGTTGTGTGTCTTCCCTCCAACTGATCGGGGATAGTTACAACGTTGTACAATACACCGAAATGGTGCAGGGGCAACGGGGTTGAGAAACCTCCTCGTTGTGGATGGAATTTTTCCTGCGAATCTCACCGAAGCTACTGAGGCCGTTCTCGGTAAACACGGGAAAAATTGGAGCCGCGTGTCATTTTTTTTCGTTCTCGCGTCCTTGCCTCGTCTCGGTAGCACCGACAACACACGTTTTGGTAAAGGAACAAGGGCGATACAAATGGAACATACCGTGCATCTACCTCTCCCCACCTGAACCTTGCACATGAACACGGCGCCGTCCTCTGCGGCGGTGAAGAAGTGCTTACCGTCCGCCGTGAGAGCGAGCGAAGTTATCGGCAGACTGTGGAGACACACCTGCGAAGTGAAGGTTTTCTCGTGATTGTTTTTTCTTGTCTCTCGGTCGCTGTTGCTACTGCTTAAGCTAGAAAGTGCCGTGAAACATCCAGAGACGTTCTCATGTCCCTCTGCCGGTTCGGGTCCGGCGGTCAAAAAAACTCTTCCGCAATCAAACGGGTACCCTCTCGTTTGACGCATAAACGACTTTGTGGACTTCTTCTTTCCTGTCGAGCCCGACATGTAGGGCTTCCAAACATCATCCACGCCTCGGGTTTACCTGCGCGGACGGCACGAGCACTCCGCCCTTCTCCCTCAGGTCCCCTTTCTCTTCGTCACCGGCTGCGCTGTCTCTGAGCAAGCAACCCCAGTCGAACGCCAGCGCCAGGCCCCCCTTCGTCCCCGCCAGGAGGACGTTGTGCGCCCCCCTGTAGCGCGTCTCGAACGCCGTCGCCCGAACGCAGGTAAGCCGGTGCGGGACACGCACCTCGAGCCCGGGCTCGCCAGAGATGGGCTCCAGCTTGGGCGGCCAGACGAAGAAGGAGGAGGAGGACTGGCATCGATCTCCGAGGCGGGCGGCGTCGGCGGTGGCCACCCTGCTGCCGCCGCGCCGGGCGGCGGCAGCGGAGGAGCCTCGGGGAAGTAGCGAGACGGGCGCGGTGCTCCCGCCGGTCGTGGCGCAAGTGCTGGAAGGTTCCAAGTGCCGCCTTTTCGAGCGGCGCTCGCCGCCGGTATTAGTGTTGCTACCGCCGACCCCGGGGGCTTGGAGTTCGGCCGTAGCATTGCCGTCATTGCCGTTTGAATTGGTTCGTTTGGGAGCATTCCCTAAGTGGGGACTGCAGTTCTCTGCCGCGGGAGCCGCCGACGGCAGCCCGCTGCCGCGCTGCGATTTGCCGCGGGCGCCACCATCGAGTTTGCCCATCGTGCCGCGGCTGAGCTTTCGCCCACCATCGGCATCGGCACGATTCTTGTCGTCGCCGCCGCCGCCGCCGCCGCCGCCTGCGGAGACGCAACAGGCGACCAAGCCACCGTCGAGGGTGGGGTCGGCCACAATGCCCTCGAACGCCACCCGCTTGCTCACGAACTCCCCGCGCCTTACCTTGTCTGTTCCAAGGGCGCCCAATCCTGAACCCACCTGTGGTTGATAGGTCCAAGGATTCCTCAAGTATACATAGCATGCGACGGTAAGGGCTACATATGAACGGTGGCCGTCTCCGGTTTGGTAGGGTTGTTTCTTACACTTCTACATCCAAGGGGGGCAACAATTCCGTTTGATCGCCGTTGACCGTTGGTTACCAACTGCTCTCGGTAGAAACGTTTTCGGCGCACCAATGTGATGCGATAGGACCAGCAGACTTCGCTTTCGTTTTGAGTGGCGTGTTGGGAAACTTGATATTTTCCCGCGGTCACGGTGTGTGAAGTAATATTCCTGCCGATGATTGAACCATCTCCAAGACAAAGAGTACCGTCGTATGCGTGACGATACTGACCCCCAACCGGTCTTGAATCGAACGGTTACTTTTTCCGCACAACAAGGAACAACAAGCGTGTGCCTTGCGAGCTTCGCCCCTCATGTTCCGGAGCCCATAGCCGAGCCTAACCTTCGCACCCCTTCTTTCCCAACAGCAGCAGTTGGCCTCCAAAATTGTTTTCATCGCGTAGACTACACTGACGCTAGAACAGCATCTCATCGTTTCTTACCTCCCACTCGAAAATGTAACCGTCAGCCGCCGTCCAGCAGCGCCGGTTATCCGCCCCCCAGCAGAACGCCGACACATCGGAGGCATGCCCGGAAAGGGTTTGCACCCGACCGAGGCGTCCCCCGGCGGTGCCGCTGTGGACACCCAGGACCTGTACAACCTGGAGTTCGATTCGAGAATGCATGTTTGAGGAACGGGAGGCGGGGCGACGGGGGGAGGGAACAAGGCGTGGTTGACGTGGTGGAGTAACGGGTTGTATGCCGATCTTTCATTCGACGGGTAACATTTTCCCGCCCCACGGCAGTCGACCGATCCGGCAATTCACGCTGCTTCCCCTACACCCGAAGACCTCATTCATCCAACAGCTCCTCATCTCCTCGTCAGACACATCGCCGTCTGACCTTCCCCGTGACGACGGCGATCAAATGTCCTCCCGGCGAGTAGTGCACGGCGGACACGGGTTCGCAGTTGATGATCGGCTCTTGCTCCCCAGGCACGCTGAACATCCCCTTCGTCAGGATCTCCCGCTGGTCCGACCGGAGCGTCGCGAGCGGGGCCATCTCCACGGCAGCGACCGCTTCGGCCACCCCTAGCTGCTGCAGCGACATCGACAGCGGCTCCTTGGACGTGACCGGGTCGGTCACGCCGCCACCCCCGCCGCCGCAGGCGTTGTCCTGGTCTCCGATAGCCTCACCCCCGCTCCCGACAATGTAGAACACATTCACGCAGTGGGGAAAGGCCACCGCGATGGAGTCTCCCGACGGGTGGAGGGAGATGGAAACGGGGCACGTAGCACCTTCTTCGCGCACCCCCCCAGCGTCCGTCCCGTCACCCCCCACCTGATCGTCTCCGCCCGCGACAACGACACTGCCCAGGAGCTCGCCGGCCTGTGCACCGCCGTTACCAGAAGAGCAATCCCCTCCAAACCGATGTCTCACCAGCAACCGTTTCGTGCGGTAGTTCCAGATCTGGATCTCGGAGCTCCCGTCGATGCCACCTGCAGACGCACCGGCGGCCGGCTGCTGCTGTTGTCGTTGTCGCTTCTTTCGCGGCATACCGTCGTCCGCCTTAGAGTCGTCGGCGGCGCTACGGCTCTCATCACCGGCGCCGCTGGACTCGTCCTCGTCGAGGTTGCGATGATCCTCCGTCCTCGCCGACATACCTCCTCCGCCCCTCGCGATCGCAGCCAACAGCGGCCTTCTCGCGCACACCGCTAAGCAACTCAAAGAACCTCCTCCTCCGCCTCCTCCCTCACCCAGCATACCCCTCACGCCCAGCGCCCGAGCTACCGGGCGGTACTGAGTATTGGCCTTCACCTTCCCTCCCGTCTCTCTCGACGCCGAAGCAGAGCTTGGACCCGCCGAGAGCGACGCGCTTCCCCTGTGGTTTCCGCCCTGCTGTCGAGACCCGGTCCCGGTCGAAGCCAGTTCCGCGTCCGCGGCGGCTCGGAGAGAGTCCTCGAAGGCGTCCATCGCCTTCGCGAACCCCCGCGAAACAGCTTCTCCGCCGCCGTCGGTGGAACTACTGCTCGTCTCGAGGGCTACCCCCGCCGCCGCTGTTGCCGGGGCATGACCGCCTCCACGGCAAAGGCGGGGAACGGGGGTTCGTTTCTTCTGGTCTGTTGTTGGCGGCCCGGTTGTCCCGCTGGTCAGGGTTGCCCCTCCTTTCCGCCTCGTGGACCCGCCGCCCCCGCCCCCTGAAGACGTGAGGGAATCGCCGTCGGGAACGGCGCTGAAAATCTCGTCTGTGTCGAGCAGCCCGATCTCGCCGTCCTCTCCTCCTGCCAGGAGCTGGGACGGTTGGCCGGGATGGATAATCGGTGGTGTTGATTTGGGGCGACAAGGATGGTTGCCGGGTACAGGCGGATATAGGAAGGCTGCCGGATATAGGCGTGCGTTAAGACCCAGTACGGAGAAAGACTATCAGGGGGTAAGAAACAGCGAGCGACAACTTGACGTTGACTACTTCGCTTGTGAGAATATGGTATCGTTGAAACAATCTGCCGTGGCTGTTCTGACCACCGTTTCCTGCAAACACCCATGTCCGAACGTACCAGCCAACCCGCAATGCAGCACCACGCTGTTCCTGAGACTATATCACCCTTCTGCCGACGTACCGACGTGGCCGTCTGCAACCCGTCGGGCAAGCCGGTCTCCCCTAGCTACCACGTCGGATGAGCGATGTTGGACCACGCCATCCATTGCACCGGGCATAGCCACAAAAAACATGCATGCACCCCGCGGTGCAATGCAACAGCTTCCTATCCTTCCCGTGCGCAATAAATACCCTTCCCTTCGGGCTTAGACCTCCAAGCGACCTCTTCATCGGCACGGCACGCCAGTTAGACGACGGTTATTTCCATATTCACCCACCCAACGATAGTCCGGTTCCATGGTGGGCCTGAGCTCTACAAGGCTAACGCCGAATATTCGCACTACGCGGGCTAGCGCGTACGTTTCCCTGCCGCCGCTGGCGCCCCCCGCCCTCGTTTCCTGCTCGAAGACCAGCACTTGTCCGCGACTACCCCCGACGAAAAAGCCCCGCCGATGCGTTGCCACGACGTTGAGGCTTCCGCCATGCACACCTGTGGCGATGGAGGGGTCAATCAACTATTTAGAGTCAAACTGTCGGGTATTTAGAAGGTACAATTCGGCAGGGTTGATGGTCTGTTTTACTTGACGGCACAATCGTTAAGGGTGTTCATCAGCGGAGGGAGCACATTCCAACAGCCGCGACCAAAGCCGAACCACAACCTGCATCGGTGAGTTCGTCAGCATAGCAGCAACAACACCGGAGCCATCAAAGTCGAGGTGTACTCATGTTGCACCCAAGGCACAAGCCAGCGCCCTTGTAGTCTCCTCGTGTCATGTTTCTCTTGCTGGGATATGTAGCGCGTGTCGAAGCCAACCAGCTAGACGCAAAGGGAACTTGCCCTTTTTCGCACACACGAGAGACCCCGTTTCTTTCGTTTGGACACAGCAGCAGTCTACCTGCAGACAGAGTGTCGTCCGTTCCGACCGAGCCAGCAGAATCGCCGGCCCCATCGCCGTCAGGGGGAAAAGAAGAAGCGCCTAGCCCATCAGAACGACTCAAGTCCCACTCTTGAAGGACCTCATTCGGCGACACCAAGGTCACGGTACCCTCGTGGGCGGCCAGTACGAGGCGGTCGGCGTTAAGCCAGGCAACGTCCCTGTAGCAGACGTCCTGCGCTCGCGATGGGCAGGAATAAGGAACAGAAATCAGGCGAGGTGAGGTCAGCGGTGGAGGACTGAGGAGACTGCAAAATGTTGCTGAAGGAAAAAAAACGACACGAGGAGCACCAACGAGGTGTCCATCTTGGCTTGGAATGATCAGTCTTAGCCACTGGCAGCGCCACTTGTTTCATCGCCCTTCCCAACCCCGGTCAACTCACTCCTCGTAAGCCTGGGATAGGGACCATACACGAAACTTTGCCCCCTTGCTGCGTGCTCCATATCCTGAACAGACCGTCAGCTCCCGCGGTGACTGTCTTGCTATTATCAAACGGAGATAAGGCGACCCTGTAAATTAGACGGACGGGTACAGCACCAGAATTCAAGCAAACAGTCTGAGATAAGAGTGTTCGTGATAGAGCGTCATTGAAGAGAAGCGATGCTTCGAAACAACTCTGCAGTATATTGCTCATCGTACCATCCATTGCATATGGGGTATCGGTACCTGTGCACGGGCGAGTCCAGCTGCACGGTAAACATCCTCTTCCCTGTCTTCCATTCGAACCAGAGCAAGGTCCAGGCGGGACTCCCATCGAGAAGTGCGAGAATCTGACCATCGTGAGAGAACGTCGCCGTGGCGAACTCAGCGGTTGCAGATGGGAGGACCGTCGGCGGCGGAGAAAACCTGCCGCAGCCTTTATCACCAGTCCCGCCTGAGGACGCTGTACTGCAGTAGGAATCGTGCCGGCTACTACTCCTACTGCTGTTGCTGCTCCTGCTCCTGCCCCCCGAGCGCAAATGACCCTGCTGTTGTTGGCGTCTTGGTCGTTCGTACGAGAGGGTCTTCACCCGAGAAGCGCGTGGCCGCGAGGGCATGTGGTACACCGTGGCATACGCTGCGGTTTGATTCGGGTCTTCCTCCACGACGGCCTTGTAGCACGCGGCGACGAACCGCCTGTCTGGGCTGCAGGCGACGGCGGTCACGCGGGCCACGCGCAACCCTGTGCTGAGGAACTCGAGTCTACTGCTACCGCTACCGCCATCGTTTGCGCTGCCGTTGGCGGGGGCTGTGACCGCTACACGAGAGCCGACGACGTAGACGACTCGCTCTTCATCGAGCGCGCAAATGTTGTCTCGGACTTTGTCCGGGCACGAGCCGAACGCGTGAACTACCTCGATTGGAGGGGCGCAACTCGCCGCATGATCTTCGTCGCCATGCGCACCTGTAGCCATGCTGTGTCGTTCGATGTGGCACTTGAAGCAGCGTTGAAATACCACATGTTTCTACGAGCGCGAAAAGAGCGCCCTATGAAGTAGGCGGAGATGAAGAAGTCGATCAAACATCAAACAATAAAAACATGTGCAAGCCGACAGTCCCGTGGAAACCGCCGTGCTTGTGGACACAACATGTGTGGAGGCGTTCTCGGTTCCAACCCGACGGGGGGGCTGCAGCCAACTTCGTTCTTGCAGCACTTGCAGTCGCGAGGGCAGGGAGTGGGGGGGTTCGGCGTACCTGCGTCTTCGGACACACTCTGCACTCTGCCACACCACCTTGCTGCGACACAGATAGAGACGGAGACAAGCGGACAGCCAGCCAGATACAGCGTGCTCTTCTGCGTATCTGTGTGGATGGTTTGGGTGGAAAAATGAAATTTGCCGGCAGTTTGGACGTCGTGCCCTCTGGTGGGCATTTAAAGTCTACATAGATACAGCAGTAGCTCGTGACCAAATAAGTTAAACGAATTTCGGCGGTGTACTGTACTTCAGTTCAGTGTCTTGGTGTTGGAGTGAGGAACAAAGAAGAGGAGGCACAGCGTTAGTTAGTGGCGGCACGCTCATCAGGAGCATCCTCCCTCACTGGAATTCGGGCTCAAGTCTTTGAACTAATGCATTGGGCTCAGCGGCCGGCACGACACTGACTCCCTCCCGTATTGTATGATGGCTTCAGCAATAACCTGCATTCAACCGGTGAGATGCCTCGAGGGGTAATTTGCAAGAGGGTTTACTCGGTATTTTTACCAACGTGAAAATACCACCGTGGTGGGCGTTACCGGTATATCTAGTAGTCTACCGCCAACTACCGCTGTAATTTTTGTTTTTACCGCCTGCGCAAGTCTGTACCGCCAAAAAACGCGTTACCGCCTGCCACCGAAACATTTACCGCCATGTGGCAATACCGTCGCTAAATTACCTCCAAGTTTTTGTTTTCCCGCCTCCGCCAAAGCCGTTACCGCCAACAAACGCATTACTGCCTACCGCCAAATGGCATTCCCGCCGAAAACGTGTCCGCCTATAAAACCGTTACCGAGTAAACCCTTGGTTTTTTTAGCCTTGCTCAAGATAGAATGATGCCACAGGGTCGTTAAGATTCCGGGGTGGTGCAAAACCTCAAAACGTTCTACAATTTTCAATCTTGTAGTCCCAGCTTTCCCGTTAGGTCTAAACCCGTTGTCCCCTCGCGCGCATTTAGTTATTTACGGACCAAACACAAGATACGACTAGTGTACTAGCGGAGAGAGTTAACGCCGGCTAGCGTCCGCCTTCAGCTTACATGTGCAACGAATCGCACTCCCCGTCTGACTCTCAAACCCGCACCTACGTTCTGTACACTTGGTACAAAGTAATCCTAGCCAGTACCAGCTGGGAATGCCATCACGGCTGGAAATCCGATCACGAGATGACCCGGTCACACAAAACAACTACATACAGTTTGTGTGATCCTCCTCCCGACAAATCACTCAAAAAACAGCTGGGATTTGCATACTCCGGATAAAAATAGGAAAATTAGAACAACGTAGAGGATTGGTTTGCTACAGCCAACCGTTGGGGTGTGCGAGGCGGAAAATACACGGTGTTCTTCCAGGCGATTACTTAACGCCCGGATCCCAACAAGCCGGCAACATACAAAAAAGGCGAAAAAAACGCTACAAATGTGCTTCTAAACATCAATACATCGGACGCCGATGTTACACGGGAACACATCTGCCATCGGTCACAGACCAAGGTGTGCTCAACTGTCCAGGCGCCCCCACTTATCTGGCCCCCTTATCAACAAAAAAGAACAACCACACACGAGTAAAAAAATCAACCCCGCCGACAACCCCCCCGCCCAGCGGACGCAAGGGTAAACTGTAAAACCATCGGCTATCAAAACCCGGACGTGCACAGGTGCCACATTTCTTAGCTCCCGAAGCCCGTGGCTTGCAAGCACGTGACGAGTTCGACCCATCCCTGGGCGGCGTCGTCGGCAAACTCGCTCTTCTCGGCGGCGTGCGTCCCCGCCGTCTGTCGAGCCACGGATACACAGGGGTAAAAAGATGAGGGATGCGGGGTATTGTAGTGAGATATGGTTGGGTTACTACGGTTCAAGGAAGGGCGCGTGGGTGCGGCATGATCAGGGGTAAACGGAGGGGGTGCGGGGGTGGTGGCAACAACGCTTGACGGACGCGGCTTCTCTCTCAAACCCAATGCAAGATCGACGATAAGAAACAAAAATGTCAACTTCCTCCGATGCGTGGAATACGGAGTGTCTGTGAGTGGCATCGTCCGCTCTGGGTTCGAGCTGAGTTTCGGCACGAGGCATCAAACGATTTACTTCTCCGCGTGCATGTACGCACGGCCGCTTGATCGGGACAGCACGCCAAACGAGAGCTTGGGGCCAATCTTCAACAACACAACTTTTTTCTTTCTTCGTCGTAGATGTTTCTTACTTTCCATGAGAAAGAAAAAGGCGCCGTCAACATCCATCCGCCAATGATCAGAATCGTCGAAAACTGCACGAGCTTCTGCTGCCGCGTAATCGGCACAAGTGATATGAGACAGCACATTCCTGGTAGATATGCAAACTGTTGTTGGATAGTCGAGGTTTGCCGGGTTCTTCGAGAAAAAAAAACGTGAGCTGTGTGAGTTGTTGATCATTGTCACAACCAACTGGCAGCCAGCTGCGGGCTGGTCCTGCTGCCCGCTTTCGCTGCCATCTTGCATCACCCCTTGACAAAACTACAGAGCGAGCCCACTCCGGAGGAATCACTTGAACCGCACTCACCTTTCCGCCGAACACCAGGGAAAGGATTATCCTCTCTGGGTTGGACTCCACCCTGACCGCCGAGGGATTTCCAAACCCGTTGGCGATGGCGTGCTGCGCGGAACAGAACGGAAGGGGAGGGAGAGGGAAAGGCCGAGAGCGCGGACGAAACGCACGCCACAGCAGGCTCGATTTTTTTTCGCACGAGAGCAAGCCGATGACCACTCTCGCTGGTTTGGGCCCGGACACTCAAAACGCAGGCCCCGTAGAGCGCGGAACACCGAAAGGAGTGCGAAAGTAACAGCAGCAACGGCAGTATCGATGAAAACAACAACCAGCAGCAGCAGCAGTCCATCTCCTCGATGATTGGCCAAACAGCGTCTTGATTCCCCTCCGAAACTCGTGGACCAACAATGCGTCAACAAAAAACGAAAAAAACGCTTCAAATTGTCCAGACGGGGACTCGAACCCCACGACTAACTCTTATAGAAACCATTAGACTAGTCAGCGTCAGCGCTGCCTTGTCTAACGGGATGGTTTCAGCTTCTAAAAGTCACTATCGCACCACCACCACCACCACCACCACCACCACACGGGGGGGAGCGCAGATGACTCAAAAGCTTTGATCATCCCACCTTCTCCATGAGCGCCAGCACCTCTTGCAGGAGCTGATTAATAGTCTAATGGGATGGTTTCAGCTTTTAAAGGTCACTACCGCACCACCACCACCACCACCACCACCACCACACGGGGGGAGCGCAGACGACTCAAAAGCTTTGCCATCCCACCTTCTCCATGAGTGCCAGAACCTCTTGCAGATTTCCTCGGTTTTCGTGGGCCAGCAGGAGCGTTCCTCCCTCCCGAAGAGCGGCGGCCGCGGTGACCATGAGATCCCTTACCTTCACGTCCATTCGCGGCATCCACTCAGATTTCTTCGGCTGGGAATTTTTTTGCAACACCAAGCGAGAGTTTTCGGCGAGGTTCGTTGAGGGCATCAGAAATCGTGATCGTGCCCGTGATACATATCCAGGCGACTCTTCTTTTTACGAAAAACGTATTCATGCGGAGTGTCCTAGACTATCTGTCGTTGATTTCTATTGACTTGCGGATCCTTTCGGATCCGTCATATTTTCGTATACCTTTTTTTGGTAAGTTTGCCTGTGACCACGGGAATCGACAGCGTCAAGTGTTGGATCAGTACGGACAGAAGAAGGTACTGGGTAGAGAGAGATCGGAACGGTTGTTAAGGTGATCGGAACGGTTGTTATGGTGATCGGGACGGTTGTTAAGGTGAAGACAATAACATCAACAACAACAACATTCATGCATACAATCAAAGAGCGACTATCCGTTCGAGATGATACCACAGCAGTAGTCGAAGGTCGAAGTGGACGTGCTGAAGTTTTTACATCCGTGAGTGGAAAAAAAACAGCGACTCTTGCGCGGTTGAAGCGTTCGGAACTAGGTCAAACGCAGCTGTTGGGGGTTGCCGGGTGACGCTTATGACTGCGGTGAAGCCGTGGTCCCCCGGCATAGGCAACTAGGTTAGCCGAGCAAAACAAAAAATAGGGTAGAATAGTATAGGATACGTAGGATAGGATATGATGCGTCCAACCCATAAAAAAAAACCCAGCTATATATGCAAATGTTTTGCGTCTAGCCGATGATCCGTTCATCTTGTCCGTGCAAGTCCAAAATAAAACTGCAGCCCAAATTCAACACACGGCAGAGCGAACAAAGGTACAGCCTATAGCCCCCCCCGCTCTGCTCACACAGCGGACGAATAAAGGCACAGTACATAGTAGTCCACACACCCTCTCTTCACAAAGCCGGATGAAGAAAAATGACAAGTCTCTTAGCCCCCTTTGCTCTTTTCCAGCAGCCTTGGCAAGGTTTTCCCACTAGGTTAACATGCCAGATAAAGCATGCAAATCTGGGGGTTTTGGTTTAGGCTCTACGTACCACCGTCCTGTTCTACTTCCTCACAAACAATAAACAAACTTAAAAAATCTGGCGAAGAAGGGGGCCCCTCTTGTCATCACCTTCTCCGGGTAAATCAAGTCCGAGCCCATGACCATGTCGAAGTGCCCCATCTCCAGCACCTCCATCAGGTCGTGCGCCTCCTCCGCGTTGCCCCATCGCAGCTCCCTCGCGTGCGCCGGCCTACCCTCGTCGCACTCCTTGTACTCCATCTTAGCCTCGTCCTCCTTGCCTTCTCCCGCGCTCGAAACGTTCGTAGAGATGTTCTGCCCGCGCGAACGTAGGGACACGCACACACACACAACGGAAACGTTAAAGAACGAAACTTGTCCAATAGGGACAACGCCTCCATAAAATCATTCGGATCCAGCCCTCGAGTCTTTTCTCGTGGCACGACAAGGACACAAAACCGACAAGATCCCAGGTGGATTCTTCCACACGTTGAAACCAAACAGGCTACCGTATATGACACAAGATAACACACCCCCTGGACCGATTTTCAAAGCTCGATTACTCCACGACGAAGAGGATGCATAAATGAAACAATACGTTTTCGAACAGCTCTCGACGAGACGGTTCCAACGCCGCCGTTTTCGGCGCTGTGACTCTTCCTGCTGTTGAGAAATCGAGCTTTGAAAATCGGCCAAGGGGGTGTGTTATCTTGTGTCATATACGGTATCCATCCACCGTAGGCCACGGCCAAAACCAACCCCCCCCGCTCCCCTTGGGTAAACTAGAACAATATTGCCGACCCCCCCTCAACAGGCTGTTTTCGTGGAATGCACACATATGTCCAAGGTAGCGGAAAAGGGCAAAGCAAGAGCAGGGAAAGCCGCACCCAATACTCGGAAACCGGCACCTCCATACACGCATCAAATTGACAGTTTTGGAGAGCGTAATCGTACCGCCGCTAGAGTACGCCGGAGAAGTATGGAAATAAGAAGGTAGTCAAAGAGCTCGAGGCGGCGCAGATGAAAGCAGCGAAAATCATCCTAGGATGCTCCAAGCGCACCAGTAATGCACCCGTCAGGGCAGAACTGGGGATCCAATCCCTACGATCGGGAAGAGACGCAAGGAAGCTAAAATGGCAGTAACGCATGTGCGGTACGGGAGAGGAGAGGTCGCCGACAATAGCTTGGGAGGCGAAGTGGGCAAACGAGAAGAGGGGTAGACAACCCAAGGCGTGGGCCAAGGTTGTAGATGACGTATGGGAGGTGTTCAAGGACAAGATATCTCTTGCTTTTGCCGAGAGAACAGAATGTAACCAAAGAAACCAAGGATAAAGAGGGTCTAGATGTGTACGGAATGTCGAAAGAAGGAATAGGGTTCAAGGTGTACTTACATGGACCAATGGATGAAGCGGCAAAGCTGAAGGTTAAATGTACGACCGGGGGCATTGGCCTTCGAGAACGTAGACGAAGATTAGAAAGGCAGAAGATGAACATGACAAGTTCAAATGTGAATGCGGCTCCGAGGGCGAAGACCGGGTTCATTTAGTTGAGGAATGTCCATTGTAAAAGAATGAGAGGCAAGTGTACACGACTGAGCTGGGAAAACGAAAAGGAAGATACACGGAGATGTTTGAGGCATGGGATAGCCAGGAGAAGACGGTAGCTGTACTGGGGCATAGGAAGTGGGTTGAAAAAGCAGGAATCGATATCAATAGGATATATAGGCTAGGGAACATTTTTGAGCCACCTCTGGCAAAGTAGGAAGGAACGATTGGCCATCGGTGATTGGTCATGTGGGAACAATACTTCGTCCTCTCGAGGGCGCCGTGGTCAGTGGACTAACCGCTAAGGCATGCGAACATAAAGAGTACCGACCCCCCCCTTAGCCGTCACGTGGCTCGCCATGCAAGAACCAGCGTGGTCGTTCCTTCGTCTCAAAACCGGCGTTCATGGACCAGACAGACACCATCCAGCCCACCCGTGCGTGTCAGGGCAAAAGTCCTCTCACCTCCCTGAGATACTTGATGACCGAGCTGTCCCCATCGGTCATGACTACCGCCGCCGCACCGGTCTTGTGCGCGATCAGTCCCGCGACTCCCATGCCCGAGCCCAACTCCAGCACTCGTCTGAGATTCCAGGCACCGGGCACAACACGCAAGAGAGGAGGAAAGCATTCAAAAAATGTTGTAAAATAGCGTAAGAAACCAAATCCGTCTGCAACATCAAGGCATGACCTTGGAGGTGGAGGTATGATGATGCCATACCGGCGACTTCCCCGAAACAAAGCGGCAAGCGTTCTTCGCCTGGCAGCAAGCGCCCGAATAGCATGCCGGGATTAGGGTCGGCGTACCGACGGTTAAAGAACTCGTATCAAACAACACCGTCAAACATATTCACCCTCGAAACCCAACTAGCGAGTGTTGAATCAGAGCTTCGTGTTCTTGCCGTGGGAGATACACACCATCACATCAAACTCGATTTGACCTTCTCGCGATGTACCCTCGCCTTCTCTTTGAACGAAGGCGTGACTCTCTCTGTCTCTGTCTGCCTCTCTACCTCTGTCGTTCTCTCTCATTCCTGTCCCTCTTTCCTGTCTCGATTCGCGGCGATGCTTTCTTGGTCGATGCTCTCTCCGCAGTTCTCTCTCAAGTCGGATCGCGGCGTGTTTTAGTTTCTTTCGTGCTTGCATGTGGTATGTATCTGTTCTCCCCGCCTATGCCTACAAGCTACACGCCTGTAGCATACATGTTCCTGCCCTCTCAATTCACCCCACCCTCTTCTTGCACTTGCGAATCTTAGGTGCGTCCATGTCGGGTGTACAACATGGTTCGGCCGGCCAATCCAAATGTCAATAGACACATTCATCTCCGGGTCCAAAAACCTACTTCAAGATTCGCTTCAAAAAAATTCAAACTGTCTTGTCGAGCCTGTTACCGACAGGGGAGACATCGCTGTATGTTGCTCGGGAATCGTGGAAATACAGGTAGCTTTCGCTGACGCTGTAATGATTCATTGCTAATCTATGTTAGACCCTTTTCTACTTGGATTCGCTGTGTGATGATTTGAAAATAAAATAACAAACAATTGGCCGCTGGCCGCAGGAGGAAATGTGTGCGAGCACACATGCGCAGCAGCGCGTGTATTTTCGCTTGTCTCCGTTTTCTTCGCAACCGGAGAATCCTGCTGCCGTGCAACCAAACGCTACACTACAAGCGCCAACGCGTGCCGGACAAAATCCAGCAGTTGTTCGAATATTTCGTGGTGGGTACTTGGGGTCCAAAGTACGAAAAGAAAGAGGCAGCGTATGCATGCATACGTACCCCGACTACGTTTCGCCTTCACGTTGACTTGGTCCCCCACATCCCCACGTAGGTAGACAGACTACCAAGGCGCATTCGAGTACATGCACCCGAGTGCGCAGCACACGCGTATACCGTGGTACAATTTAGCGCCTATTCTTATTTCGTGTCGAGGCCAATGCACAAAGGAAGGAGTCTGCTTTGGGCCTTGGATGAAAGGCAATCACCAACGTCGCACCGTCGTTCTGCAACCCTAGAAGCGGCGAGATAGGAGCAGAGGGAGGCGGTGCACGGCCAGATGGTGTGTCCCCCGTGAGCGACCGTCCACTCCAGCTGCTTGTTGCGCAATCTCGGCACTGTGTGTCGCCGCCAACAGAGAGAGATTGAGAAGGAGGAGGAGGATGGGGGAGGTAAACAAATTAACCGGCACCGTCGTACTATACACGAGTGCCGTATTCAACACCGACCGTGTATTGTGCTGCACAACGTGTGGATCTCGCTCCGGGTGTACACTTGCATCGGGATCGGGCCGTGGATTATGCATGCAACGCACCGACGAAAACCTTGTCATGATGCGGGAGGGTGCGCGACGGGTTCGTAGCCTCTACAATGGAATTATTTATCCAGACAATAATGTATACTCCTGTTGAACGCGGCATGCTACTATTTTTCTGCCGTGATCGTAGCAGCAGCAGCATTGGACGACATGAGGTCCCCACAAGACATGCATTGCTGCACGATTGTCAACATGGAAATTGCTGGGACACCCTTATCGTATTCATGCTAAGAGCAGTACTTGAAGATTGACTGCTCAACCAACGTAATGCGGAATTTCTCAACAAATTCGAATCACGCAATTGATGAAGGCTGGAAAGCTCGCAAGGCATACCTACAACAAGGACATGCTGCTTTTGCGATCATACTTCCCTGCTGTCATACTGACACACCACCCATGTCTGGAGTATTATTCGGATGTAACTTGGGGGGGCGTGCGGGAGTGAGAGCCTTGGGCTGGCGACTCAATATTGTACGCATATTTGTATGCATAGACCCGTTCAACAAAAATCGCTGGCGCACGCCGCGTACACTACACTCACCAGTAGTGTCAACGGTAGCGGTGGTCACGATCAGCACGTGAGGTCCGACTTGGATGGTCTTGTTGCAGTATGATATCTGGTCCTCCACCGAGATGACCATGGCCTTCCTGAGCAGCTTCCCGAGCTTGACCATCCTCACACCTTCCTAATGACTGATGACGATGCACGCGTGTGTTTTCGTTATTCCTCGCACCTCCCCTCGTTCGTGTGTTTCGCCTTCCAAAATATATACGATGAAACTTGGGTGCACGCCCAAAGCGATGGCTAATACACCCCGACCGCCCTCTTGCGCTGACGGTTATCAAGCTCGACACGCTCTCTCCGACCGCCCTCTTGCACTGACGGGTATCAAGCTCGCCGCGCTCTCCAGTCCTCGCTCGCTGCTGCCCCCTCCAAACGGTTGTGAATCTACACTTTTCTGGAGATTCGTCGCAGTCGGCGGGATGCAGCAATGGCGCACCTCATGACGTAGCACTTACGTACGTCACGCGGGACTGTGGGACAGCGCAAAACAAAGGGAACAAAAAAAAACAGATCCAAGATCCAAGATCCAAGATCCAAGATCCGCTGAGAACGGAAGGACACAACAGACAGGACACACATTCACCCTGCTGCATCACCTTTGTCATGGCACGACCCACCCGTGTTGCAAACTTGTTTCGATCCTCGACTTGGACTGCTGTTGTTGTTCTCTAAGCGCAACAACAACCTTTTGTTGATGACCCACACGCTGCAACTATTCGATGGGTACCTCCACCACGTGCATGATGCGCCGGACCCGAGCGTGTCAGTTCCAAAGCGCGCGCACCTTACAATGTATCACGAATGCCTTCTATGCTTGAATCTATACATACGATCTCTCACTCTGTCGCAACGGGAATAATAATACACAGAACTCGTCGAACACACGACCAGCTCTCGTCGTGGCCGGCGGCAGTGGGACACGTCAATCCCTCTCGAAGCTTTTCAATGCAATCAACACGTAACAGGCTCGCCACGCCTCTTATTAGTCTATCTACGAGATCCATCCGTCAGTTCTGGCGTCTGCATCACAGCAAAGTGTCCGATCTACAGCAGTAAATAAATGTGTAACAACTCAATTGCCGTAGCTTTCTTTGGAGAGGCACGGGCTACCCTGTCCAAGACGACGCTGACGGGCTGTGTGCTTCTGCGTTTGCGACGATGACAGCTGGTCTAGAGTCAACATGTTCGGGCTCGCCTCGTGTGTTCCGAAGAGCGCCCATCTCGTTTACGGTTGGGTCGGATTGGCGGTTTCCGTGGTAGTGCTTTGCCACGCAGTTCACCATATCAGGAGACAGGTGAGGCGTACTACTGTACAACCAGAAGGTTTTCGAAACGATTCCCGGAGGATCGTACACACCATAGTGTTGGCATCATCCGACCGAGCAACTTTCCTGGTTGACAAAAAGTGATAATCTACATGAAGATTTTGATGCGCTGCTGCTGTGTTTCGATGGTCTTTCTTGAGGGGACGACCGACCGGTGAACTGAAGAAATAATGCGTGTGCTAGTAGAGGGGGGCTTGTTCGTGTGTGTAAGATACGCAAGTGACTTTCAGAGCCGCAAGACATGCGATGGATCACAAGCTTTTTACCTCCTCCAGTGTAAGATAGCTGGTGCTGCACAGCAAACAGGAGTAACGAACCACGGTGGATTGGTGTTCTAGACGGCTTTGCATTCGAAGCGCCGCCTTTCCTTCTACTACCGCTGGTAAGGAAAGAAACACGGCCTTGAGAATCCCGTACCACAACCCCTCCGGCGGGGAACAACTCATGATGGCGCCGGAGGAGTGATTTCTGTGTGAGCACAATGACTACTACAGATGTATCGCTTGAAGGTTCGAAAAGAGTGTCTACAGTACAAGTAGAAGGCGAGAACAAAGCAAACTGCTTTGTGCTCATGAATCGTAAGCTGGGCTCAAGAGAGGCGGTCTGTGCCAGTTTCCAAGAAGTAAACAAAAAAGGTTGGTGTGAAGACGCACTCTCTCTATTGCCCCGGTCGTACATGTAGCTATGCACGCCATCAAGGTACGTACATGGTTGCTGTGATACTCCCTTCAACCATCGCAAGCAATTGGTGATTGCCAACACTGAATGGAGGGAGGGGCGGATTAGCAAGTGTTGGGCCATACTGTAGCAAGCAACATGGTCTGTAAGTATTTTTATTACTTCGTATCAAGTTTTGGGACATGCTCTTTGCAGCCCCATCCTCGAATTGTTGCACCGACATCCTGCCACGAATATTCCTGCGCTGGTAAAGCCCGCTCATTCTCCCTCTCTCCCGGAAACGCTTGCCGCTGACCTCGGTACGCCGGACAAGCAGATCACGTTCCACGCGCAAAACGCGTGGGCTGCGACGTCGGAAATCGAGCGGTGTCGCCGGCAAATGCACATCGTGGCGATCTCGGTTGGTGCTGTGCACGTCTGTTTCTTCTCTCTGGTGCTACGAGACGTGCTGTGGTGGGCTTTTGTGGTGATGATGACTGGTCAGATTCCAGTTTCCATCGGCATCTTCGTCTCCACGCTTCGAATGTAGATCTACACGTTGAGTGACGATTGGCGTAAGGGTTGCAGCCCGAGCCCTCGCGGGACTAGAGATGATGTACGAAACGGGGGTAAGCTCGTCGACCGAAAATGGCTAAATAGGAGCCCCGGTCCTTTTTCGAGAGTTTTTGCCGCGGGAGTAACGATCTTGTCACACGTGTGCACAGGCATATGATTGGCACCTACACGAGCTGCCTCTTGATTGGCTCGATCACGTCACCACAATCAACCCTCCTCCCTGTTGTCACGATCCGGCCGGACTGATATTCTCGTAGGAACGATCCTCTGTTGTTGCGGGAAAGCCCTGCGATATTGGCAGCGTCCACCTGGCTTGAAAAATCAAGAGGGAACATTACGGCACATTGTGTGGCGTCGGCTCTCCCCTGCGTCGGAATAGTCCTCGCCTTGGACAACTACACGATTTCTGCGATGCGTGTCGTTGCACTTGGAGGTAAGCGCAGCAATCAATAAATGGTTGCGCGAGCGATTATTTCGCCGAAGGGATGGATGTGATTTAAGATACCGTAAGAGTCGGAGAGATGGCACCCCCGTGTTAGCGTTTTCGTTCAGCCTATTTCTCCACAAGCAGGGGGGTGCGAACACCAACCGATACCTCTCAGGAAAGCCGTCGACGAGATGTTTCCAAAACTTTCCTTTTCGGCATTAGTACCCCCCTGGTTGTTGTGAAATACGCTACAAAAAAACGAAAACACGGGGGTGCCATCTCTCCGAGTCTTACGGTACTCCTACAGTAGTAGGTTGTCGAAAAGAGGTTTTCGAACGCTAACATTTCGTCGCGTGGAGCTTGCTGTAGGTCTACTTCCACAGATCGTGCAAGAAATCAAGTTCGCCGTTGTCGAACGGTTCGGCCTCCTCGACTACGCCATTTTTAGTATATCGCGAAGCACACAACAGGAGCCGACGAATAGGCTTACTTCCATGCCCCCCCCCCCACCGACTCACTTCGAGCAGGCGAGCTCTGGGGTCTGCAAACCCTTGCTGTAATTTGGATATGCGGGAGGTCCCTCATACGCGCCATCGACAATTCTCTGCAACAGCAGGCGAGGCCCACTGAGATAGAGGGGACGAAAGACAGCAACGACAGCGTGCGAGGAGACCCGACCCTTTTGGCGGCGAAACGGAGCGTGGCGCGAAAGATGACTTTCATTTTAGCCGTGGGTGTTCCGGCGGTGGCGGTGGGTGCCGTCGCCACCTGCAGCAAGTACGGGATCGAGGCGCCGATTGTCATGTTCGGCATACCCTACACCATTTCATCGCAAATCTGGATGACTGTTCGTGTCCAGCTACATGCTGGGAGAAGCTCTGCGTCTCGAAGAAGGTCTAATGGGCGTAGGCTATCAGCCAGAGGGTCTAATAGACGTAGAATGTCAGCCATAGTAGCGGTAACTTGACTAAAGGGCTACTATTAGGCTTTCGCCCGCGTGTACTTGCTTGCCTTTCGCAGCAGCAGACTCGTTTCCCACCCAGAGTGAAATCAGGTGGTAATCTGTGTACATTCATTGCGTTTCAGGACCCGAGAAGCCACCTGTTCCGATAGCCCGTTCGTCGGGTGGGCGTTGAAAACCCGTACAAATTTTGTATCAAACTTTGTTGATCATGGGCGGTGTGCTGTTGTAGGTAGGGACGTGGGATGACTTGCTAAATTAGTATCCGAAAAAGCGTCGAAACTATTATGACTTCATCGTTGGACTGATCCTCATCCAACAGAGTACTTGTGGACTTGCAACAGGGTCGAGGCAAAACCCGCCGGCGACACTTACTTGCGCGTGATGATCGTCGGGGGATAGAGGGGAGATGTACAAAAAGGGTGGGCCGGAGCAAGCAAAAGGAAAAGCGTTTAAGCTTCATGTACTGTAGTTCCACGAGTTTGAAGGTTGGTGCGAGGTATCATCGCCCAAGTCCAGAGAAGGGCTGCTTCCCAGGTTTCGGCAACCGATTCCACTGAATGTCACATGTAACCAAAGATCCTGTGGCATTGAAAAAGGCAACTTTGACGATTCAAAAAGCGACGTTTAGCTCTTGTGACGTATTGCTATGGTGAAATATCCGTGGGTGTGTCGTCCGTAAGCAGCGCACGGTTTTTCGTGGTCATCAGCTACTCCTCTGTGATTTCGTGATCGTAAAAATAATCTTTGAATCGTTGGTTTCGAGGGCATTTATTTCAACTCAGAGCCCCACCAAACTTCGCACGTCGCTACAGGTGGCCGCGAGAGCTGCCCAAGTCCCTCGCTGGCTTGACCACCCAGAGGCTCTCGCCTACAGCAGCCACCACTTGGTTGCAAAGACAAGTAGAATACAACCATAATACATACGTTTGTCATGGGAAATCTCTCTGGGTACAGTACAATAGTGTGTTGCCAAGCTGCACGTGGACGCAGTCCGTGAGTGCATCGCCGTTGTGTGGGTGAGGATGTGTCGCGCATGACAATTGTGGTGGCTGTTTAGGACGCAGTCGCCGGCCCGGGCCACTTGCCGAAAATACCACCGAATTCACCGGTGTCCGGCTCGCTGGATACTATTTGTTGGATCGACTGGGTGGGGGGGTGGC